CAAGCAGCCGCCGACGCCTCCTGTTTATGTTTATTGGTATAACTTAACTTCCCTCCTACCCCACGTAACAACCGACCATAACTGTAGACATGTCAGTAACCGACTGGACCAGCGCTCGCCGCTCTTCCTCAACAATAGGAAAATCTCCCTTGATTTTTTTTATCGCAGCCTGGCTAGTAAACTGTTCTTATGAGCACTCTAAGTAATTCACCAATGAACATTTGCTGTAGTTCTGAGGCTGGAGAAAAGGTTTGATAGAAAAAGCTTAGTTTATCACACCTTTTTCGAGACGCTGTCCCGCCATGGAATTCGACCATCGCAGAAGGTCTTGACGGTATTGGTGTAGCACTGGATCAGAACGACCATGCAATCACCATCTGCTGATGGCCCGGGGAAGCAATAGAGTGTTTAACTTCCTGGAACATACAGTTGGTCCCAGAGTACGCTGTAGGGTTTTATAAAAAAAAATTTATAGATTTATTGGGCATCCTGTGTGACTGGTGGTAGAAGATTTCTCTATCAAAAGTTTGAATCAGTTTTCCGGCAATAATTAAGCATCTCTCCACAAATGTCTCCACTGAAAGGCGCTGTTTGCAACCGGTAGGAGCTAACCACCTCACGTACGACACGGGAGAGAGCACGTTGTGCTTCTTAGCACGTACAGAAAAATAAAAGTGTCACAGAACAGTTTCAGCCGCTTTATGATGCAAGATGATGTATCCTCTCGCCGTCAAGCAATCGTCTGACCAGATGGACGCCTGAAATTCAGTCAAAACGAGGCCTTCGGGCAGCGCCCAAAGTGATGTGCCAAAACAACTCACTGATCATCATGAGGAAGTCCCAGTATTGCAACAGCCCTGACTGAGTATGATATGTTGTGGTCATCGGTTTGTGAATAGAAAAATTCACAATCGATATCACGTAGGACCGGGTTAATAGCAAATGACTATTCGTCTGTGTCACGCTTCTGCCTGTCCTCATTTCTTTCAAGCATTTTGTGCCTATCCAAGGCTATACTCCTGTCTATCGCCGTTGACTAGAGCTACTTTCGAAGCTTCAGGAAAGGCTCGAGGAAAGACCCAAGAGCAAGTGTTTTTAACTCCTTGAACATGACAACATCTCAAAAGACCAATAGGTTTTTCGGGTTTCCTTACAACCCGACTCTAAAGAGCACAGCGGATACCACTCGTGATACAAAGGGACTGCAGATTCTTCATCAAACTCAAAGGTCAGCTACAGTCCCCATGACAAGAGATTGCCTCGGGTTGCCGAGTACCCCATGTTATCTGCTCGCTGTATGTAGCTGATTAGGTAGGCTTCGATCGAAGAAGTAAGTTACCAAAAGAAAGGTTAATTTAAAAATGTCTGAAACCCACTTGGAGCAGGGCTTCAACTCACATCCAAAGCAGGTCAAAGGTCAGCTTAGCATGGGTGATCAGCATCCGGAGAGGACTTGATGTCATCCCTCCTTCAATTACACAATCGTCATCAAATAATATTTGATCTAAATCCACACGTTCATAATATGTTGTAGACTGTTTCAAAATGGTTTAAGACAGTAAATCTCAAACGAGAATGAGAACGTTACACACGTCAACAATAATCACTTTATATTGGCAAAGATTCTTAACTTCCTCATTTAAAAAATACGTTGATCTTGGTTCCTGAACGTGCATTACTCTCTGTCATGAGGCTTATTACAAGAAATCTTCACCACCGGATGCTAACGGGAGTCTCAAATGAAACCCTATCGTTTATTATATTCCACAACTAAATATGTTATACAAAAGACGCTCTGTGTATCTGGCTGGATGATAATCGAGATATCGCAGTACACTGTTTAGAAGGAACGGATTACTCACAAAATCTATGAAAAACCCCCTACCGACTTACAGCGGTTTTCGCCCTTCTTGAGTTCTCCCCAAATTTCTTTCCCATTTAAATAGGCATTTCTATGCAACAGGAAGCATGGGACGAGAATGCGAGGTGTTCGACAATATACAAACTTCTGGCAGGCCCTTCAGGCAATATCCTCACCGACTCTCACAAATTTGGAGGCGATCCAATCTGTGCAGACCTACCGACACCCCTCAGAACGGCAGTGTACTCAGTAGCACTCGAGTCACATGACCAAAGTGGTTATGGTGTTGTATAACCGTAAAATCCACTTAGGATACTATGAAGAAGAGTTTTTAGTCCAACCAGATAGCATGTTGGATCTAATCTCCACCGGATTCTAGGCCACACCGGGATTTCAATTTCAGTCGATAGAGGAATGGGAGCAGCCTTTTAGTTGGATACACCTACCACACGAATTTCTTTTCTGTTGCGGAGAGTGACGATCACACTGTGATTCCAATGAAGCACTTGATGAGGAAAATTCAAGGGAACAATTAAATTCAACTGGTCCAGTTATTAGAAATTTCTAGATGTGTCAGTCAAAACACAATCTCCATATTGCATCCAAAGTCACCCGTAGAGCTGTAGCGCAAATGAGATATTAGTTGGTGCGTGGACCTCCGTTTGACGAATCCGGGAGAGTGCCCTTGTAATCACTTACACTTCTACGGATTTATTACTCGCTGAATATATCCAGCATATATCCCGCTGTGAAACAGCTAGATGAGATTTTTGGCGTACATCTCCATTCTTTCTCTGAATTATGCTTTAACTGGCGGTTCGAGATTTGAAACTTGAGTGGATGCACAAATAGTGACTATAGGTGAGGGATAAAAGATCTGACCGCCAGAATCATCGACAGGCATGTTTCTCGTGGCACCCTTTGGCAACACATCTAACTATCTTAAACTCAGATTAAACAGCTCGAACAGTGAAACGTTTTGAATGTCTCCGGCGTTTGATAAACTTTTAAAGACTTCATCTTGATGCTACAAACTTGGAAATGAAATAATATCACTTTGGAATTGACCTGGATGTCAACTTCATACGGTAAAAATACCGCAAGTCCGTTTAACGACATTTTGGCGCAGTGGATCGAATAGAGAGATGCAAATCACTTGGCGGCTCAGACTTCTCTGCACAAATTGGTATCGTCAGTCAGCTCGAAGCAAAGTTGAAGGCCATCGAGATGCCTTAGAAACTAGCCCCTCTATAACTTTTGGAATATTTTTGCACGCGCACGTCACCCATTCTTCTATAGTGCCTTTGAAGTTAAAAAGAGTCCCCGGATGATTTTCTTCGGGGGGTTCGTCATATTAAATAAGACCCCACAATCAGGTCCAGGTGAGCAGGACCGGTAAGCTGGAGGTGAGCAGCAGCTGTACGGCACCAGCTGTACGACTTCAACCGATCTAGACAGGGTTCATTAGTGAAAGAGTTGGTTGCAAACTAAGACTGGTTGTCCTTTTCGAGCTCTTAATATAAGACCCAATGGTTACCAGGGTAAAGCCAGGTTCCCTTTTAAATGCAAAAGATTCCAATAAATTTGGACTCTTTCAGTTTTGCGTAGGCACTCCGCTGAAGCACATACCGGCTGCTCTCTTAGTTTCAGTTGTCTCTTTTCTTACGACGCTTCGTAGGCTATTCATTTGGAAAGGAACACCCGTAGCTTGTGTAGGATGTTCCACCTGCGACTATCAGCTGATCCCAGTTGGGGACGATCCACACGCTACTGACACACTGACCCTGAAATACCAGTATTATCGGTCTCATTTAACCGAATACCCCGGGTTACACTAGCAGTAAACGGTGGTGATAAATCCTATCGACAATCGACACAACCAGTTTGACTGATTTGAGAATTGCGTTCACTGTACAAGCTGCCAATCCAAGAGGTTACAACCAGGTGATCTGGTATTGATAATTCGTAAGCGACATTCGATGTCCCGAGTTGTAACTGTGTGAAGGATGGGCCCGAATAGCGAATACTACGGCCTTTGTGATGAGAGGCATGGGACTGCTTCTCTACGTCAGTGTGGAAATTAAGCAAAAGATGAGGTTTTTTTATCCCGGGAAGTGGTTTTAACTATAGTCTCGTACCGTTCCATATATCAGCCGTCCCATTTGAACAGCCTTCCTCCTGAGTTCGAAAGAACCCTTCACATGGATCACATCATTACCACCTGGAAACAACCGGCCTTTGAGGAGCCGTGCCAATTTCGTACAACTTTGTACAAGTGATTCTCCGAAAGCTACATCATTAAGTATTCTGCTAGCCTGCTAGGCCCCAATTCCCATATGATTAAGATCCACTCAAGACATGCTGGTTTCCCATTGCTATCATGACATTTAAAGCACTAATTAGAACAGCCCGGAAACCTGAGGTTTGAATAAATGTTTCACACAATTTATGGAATAATCGAACGACTTAAACGAACCTTTAGTCTGCACTCATTCACACGATTTATTTGAGCCTCTACGAATAAGTTAAGTTGAGTATTCCACAGACCCACATCACTTTGGCAAATGACCGACCGTAGTTTGCCAAAAATTACTACTTCGTTTAGACTGGATATTTATCTTGCGGAACAACGAGTCAAACAATTACACAGGCTCCCGTAGTCCAATGTACTGTTCCATTGAGTTTGGATGATTGCATTGAAAGGTTGAACCTGGTCGCAATCAGCAAAACAATCGTTCATTTGTGAAGGTCAGTTGTGTTGCATAACCCTGTGCGACGTTTTCTTTGGAACATTTTAAATTGGGCCAAATGAATCGTTTCTTAATTCAACATGAGTGCTAACTACGGATCGGTCCAAGGTTCCAGCGACTTCAACTTTGCAAAAAAACTAACCTGCATATACATATGTTCGACTGCGAAAGTTGACTGAAGCTACCTAAGTAATCCACATCACTCTCAGTTGAACAGCCCTGCCATTGTTCTGGCGCACTTATTCTCTTGAGTCCCTCACAAAACGGGGGAAAGCACCGGATTTGAGTTTTGCCCCTGTTGTATCTCATCAAAGATACACTTCATTAGATATGCCGAATTCTCAACTATTGACATCTTACACCACGAGCTCACGCGAGATGCACCTGAATTACCACGTCTGAACGGGCTCATGCTTGTGCGCGGTCAAGGATATACACAGCCGATGAAGTCTGCTGGGGCGAAACTCGAGTCCAGTGCTTCCCCCATTTGGTTGTGGCTCAGGGATCTAACTACGTCCGGAAGAGAGAAGCACCGTTTAAACAAGAGCGGTGTGGATGTAAGTTCTACGGATTTCGTAGCCATCTCAATCCAGTTTAATCCTATGAGCACGGCTCTCCCCTTGACCACTTGATTTTCTCCATTTTCAAAAGACAGACGACAGTCTGTATCTGCAAATTAACGCGGAGAACAATGCAGCTGTTTTCGATGATATTACGAACGATGACGGGACGCAGTAAATCTCACAGTATGTGTGTAAGTAAGCAAAAGAACAGGTGGAGCTTCGTTTTGATAACAGGTAGTGTTGGCACTGAGTAACCTACGTTTTAATAAGCTGAATCCCATTTCGAGTACACTAGCCGTTTTTTGTCCCAAAAAAACGAACAAAATAAGCACAAAATGTAGCCCCGGTTTGCGAGATAGGGATCTTTTGGCTCCTTTTTAAAGTTCTGCGGTGAATGATGCCCGACCTTGTGGACTTTTCAGGAAAAAAAGCATCTGTTTCTGGTAGCCACTCTTTGAATGAGTGTGTGCTCTAACCAGCCGCAAAGTTCGGTAACTCTTTCAGTAAGTGTGTCACCCAAACATTGCTTGCCGTTGTATAAAAAATGAAGTATTGTGTAAGCGAAATACACTTATTTCCAAACCAATTTGGTTTTTTTGAGAGACTCATCTTGAACCCAGCTGAATCTCTCGTTTTCGATGTTTCCGGGCAACTAAGTGTGCTTGACCAGGCCGCCCCATGTTTCAGTCGCTACGATATTCGAGATATCGCGATATATGTTTATACGCAATGCACTATTCATAAGGTTGCTGACGAATTTTCAGCAACCTTAGGAGTAGTGCATTACGAAGTATTGAGTAACTGTTGTAAACTGAAACCAGCTCGTTTGTATGAAAGCCATAAACTAGTGTAGAGATCCGGATATGTCGAGGTTACGTTCAGGTATCTCCACGACGTCTGAAATCTACAATTGGCTGCAATTTCACTGTAATCGGTGTCGTGTTTGACACTGGAAACCCCGTGGATTTTGGCATGCCTCTGGAGGAACGCCCACACAAAACACACCGTTTCATACATTTAATTTCGGTGTACATTCCCTCAGAATTAATGTAAACAAATCTGTAAATCCAGCGGAAATGCGTGCTCCTAATTGAAAATTCCCACGGAAACTGATAAGATTTACTGGATTGTCAGGAGTCGGTAAACGGTAACGTTACAACGATTTTTCATGCAAATTGAATATCCGGTCAAACAAAATCCGTGAATCGCTTGATTGCGCATTTCCACTGTAGATAATCTCTCTTGACCGGGATCCTCAAAGCCAAACGTGCGGTACTCAACCTGGATAAACGACTAATTTCAAAGTTCCACCACCAGCAATGTCAACAACAACTACAACAACAACAAACGTTTACAAGTGTAAACAGTTTGATGGTCAGCTTTGTTGTTCAGCGAATCGTTCCAGATGCCGCCATGGTAACGCATTCATTCACATGGTCACACATAGCCCCCAGGGAATTGAGTAGCTACCCTGTTTTTTTCTAAGCGAAACTAATGGGCATTTTGTTTATGAATTGCTTGTTCAACCCTCTCGTGACATCATTCAAGTTATTTTGGAGCAACGTTTTTGTTGCTCTTCTTAAAAAGGATGTGCCCTGTGACTAGTTAAGATGCTTCTGGTTGAGTGTGCCAAAGCTGTTACGGTTTCAGTAAGTGCTGAACGCGTCACATCGCCGTAATTGAGCGAATTTACAGAGGGGAAATGCTAGAGAAAGTACGACGCATTCAACTCGTTTAACGATGATTTTTAGCTACCGATGTCAGATGTCTTGTAGGCTACCCGACGATTCGACCCTGTTTATATGCACTTAACTGAAGTGGATCTCAGTAAGAAAAAAATTTGAGCCGCCATCAGAGATAGGCTGTGCTGAGATTTTCACGATTATCTGATATCTTCAAAATGCCCCACTCCATTAATTTGGTGCCATTAAGGTTCCGTTAGCAAGACGATTTCAGTCGCTGCACTCTATGAACGTTTACGCCAAATATGATGTTTTTTGTTAAAGTTCACCTTCTCTCAGCCCCACTCCGGGCAGAATGAACCTTGGAGAATATGAAGCTGACCGTACGACAAACAGCATTTCTTCAAAAGAACCGCACTGCACTGAGGCGGCATAATGAGATTTCGCATTTGCCTATGCTGTTTTGTCGGCGTTTGAATTCGCGGCGGAGCTTATTCGCCAGTGCAGATTGAGTACATTTGATGCTCTACTGTTGCGTATCCTTGACTTGGGCACTAGGGCGAATCGCGCAGGACCCATTTGGTTATTATCGCAAAAGTCGGCATAACAATGAAGTTTCGTGTCTTGAAGTCACACTGCAATCAGAAGCACGAAACGTTAAAAGTGTAAAAAAACACTGACGGTTGTAATCAGGTGGCTTTTGAGCCGTTCACCAGGATTGAAAAACACGCTTGCAAACACTGGGACATCATCAATGCGTGGTTAGATGGTGCTTTTTGGTACGCATTTGACTGATACGTTAGATAGCTTCCTTGCGGCACGTTCGATCGCAGTTCTAACTGGTCAGTTTCAAAACAGTCGAGTGCAAGCTCCACAAACTGTAAGGCGCAAATGGACCTACGAAATTACGTAAAATCTGCCCTCTAAACAGTCATTACATCAAGAGCCTAGAGTACTTTTTTAAAGCCCGTTTAACAACAAGCACTCACTGTTGACGAAACCTGCAGAACAAACCAAAAGTCACCGGATCTGCAGCAGAACAACGCGCAGTAACTGCCACTGAACCTGGTACAGAACGCGAGCTGACCTTTTCGAAGCTATTGGACACGATGGTAAATATCTCATCTGGACAGAAGCTTTGAAAAGTGAACATTCTGAAGCGTCTCCTTGGACTTTCTATGGTGTTCCTTGAGTAGTAAAAATCATAAACCGGTTCAAAAAGCCCCGTGTCAACCTTCATTCTCCATCAGACTTGGGGTCGGAGCCTGGACGCCAGACCAGACGCTACTCGCATGTTTGATCAGTAGTGTAGACCATTACACCACTAAGTCGATGTTACCCTATTATACTCTGATATGACCATGGTTACTACTGAGAAACCGACAAATGCCACATTATCACGCGTTGCGCATTCTTACTTTCCAACCCGTTTACCTTCGATATTGACCAATATTTTTGAAGGCCGAAATTTAGTCGCAAGGTGGTAACAAGTGCCCTGAGAGGTCTGAGGCAGAAGGAAGCCCTGTTATCGCAAATTTCAAAGGAAATTTGCGGGATCAGTACTCCTACTAAAACATACATCTTCATGCTGCACATGAGATCCCAACTCCAAAAGTGACTACCCATATGAGACTTAACACCTTAAAACTATGAACTTTGGAGGGGCAATTTAAGTTACACCCGGGTTTCTGAAGTAGATCTCATGATAAAAACTACATATCATTACCCGCCAACCCAGTGTATGCTAATGTTTCGTCTGCGTACGAAATTCAGTCAGCTGATATACAGGCCGGTGGTCGCTGGTATTTCTTTTTCCTTTGTCAATTTTCCTCAATTCTGAAAATATTTTTGGTTTGATTGTCGATAAACGTCGATTGCCGTTTTTTGTTACTATGGTTTTTAAGATGATGCCTCAATATAAGTCTTCCATGTTTAGTAAGCCAGTTGGTTTCAGACGTTACTTGCCCGTTCAACGGAAATCAGCTTCAACCTAATAAGGCGTTAGAATGTTTGGTGAGAACTTTAAGCTGTGCGTTCAGTCTAGAACTGAGATTTTTCTCTCCAACCGACAGTCACGAAAACAGACCAAAAGAGTGTTTCGTCCCATTTGCAGTGGTTGTTGTGACACACCATTCCACTTCTGTGATCATCTCGTGAGCATCGGGAACAGTGGTATGTTACATCATTACTGCGGGGCAAGCTCGCACGGATAACGTTTCCGTAATCGCGCACGACAAACTGAACTTTATTCATACAAAAATAGCAGCATGTCGAGGTTTTGTGGGGACTTTTCCTTCAGGTGAGGTTTCGTAATATTCTCAATCGTGTCCAATTTAGGTAAAAATATTTGTAATAAAAAATGAGGTCAACTTGTCGGGTATTGTCCACTGAACAGAACTCACGAATTTAGAAAACTCTCTCTCGAACAATGTATGAGGAACAGGGAACAACTTATACACAACAGAACTACAATTTACCTGAAACAAGTAAGACGGCCTTAGATACCTGAGGAGATGTTACCAGGATCGAAATGAACAGGTTTTCAACAATAGAAACAAACTATGTGTTGGAGCACGCAGTCTCTTCACATGTAAATGGTTGAGCCATGCCCCTAAACGAACTAACACAAACAAATATCACGAAGGCTTCAAAAGCGCGCTTTTGGTTGGTCTGATTACAAAGCAGACCACGGGAGACGGGAAATTCATGAAAGTGTGAGACACTAGTGTAAGGTTGATGCTGTTGCGTTTGTATTTTCCAATCACTCACTCAGTCTGTCATCCACGTGACCTCTGCATGATTTTGTACAGGTTCGACCTACATGGTATTTGACCTCTAGTACATATGACCTCAGGTTGAATGGCTGAAATCCGCCAACTATATACGGTACACACAAAAAGGCTTTTCCAAACATAGCAGGATAACATGCTTACCGATACTTCTATAAAAATATCACGTGACAAACCGGTAGCTTCATTTTAGTAAACGAAAACAACCGGAATAGTTTTGAGGCAAATGATCAAATAGGGTGTTAATTCTCTGTCAGTAACAATATATTTTGGAATCAATCAATCTGGAAATGCGCAAGCTCGTAGACGATTCCGCGAGTGACTTTCGTTTTTGCGCCCACTGGATGATAACGGTCTTGTAAATCTGCGGAATTTAAGAAAGATTTCGAACGCATAATGTTGCTTTCAGTAGCGATGCATTTGCGAAATGATATATTTTATGGTTAGAGGACAACACATACCTTGATGGAAATATTCTGCGATATCTCGAATATCATGCCAACTGAAACATGAGGCGACCGGTGTACAGTGAAGAAACGACAGATTCAGTTGAGTCTCCCGTGAAAACCAAATTGAGTTGCAAATGAATGCCTTTCTGGAAAACACATGCCTTTGTTATTTGATCCACATCCATACCACTCCCATCTGAAAACTGTCCTCAGGTACAATTTCTCTGAGTCCACCTCCAAGGCGAGACACACTAG